TTAATTATGATGTATATTATATTATTAACTATTAAATATATTGTTTAAACTACTTATTTTGAAGTCCCCATTTTACCAAATATTTTAGCAGACTTGAAGAAATTACCATGTTTTATTAGAAAAAAGCTGCAGTTTTATTGTTTACTTTCCAATGGTAACAGTCTTTCTGTTCTTTTAGTTGAATGATTGCATATTCCGCATGCGAACTGTGAGCACCTATGTATAGAGACAGGAATAAAGACCTCTGTTTGCTTACATCAGAATGCTGTTCATAAGATGCAAGAAAGGAATGCTATTTTGTCATAAAAGTACATAGGGGCTGCTGAACATAAATAGCTTTAATATTTGGTGGTACTCAACCACAAGGCAACAAAATAAGCATGTAATAACTGTGGTACTATTTACGTTTTTACCAGTGCTGTGCACACGCGACCAATTTTATCCTCTCCCATGAGTGGCAGTCTGTTTACTGATGGATGTGTGTGTACAATGTAGAAAAGCAATAAAGGTGAAGAACAAGAGGAGGCGTTATGGCCCATCTAAGAAATGTTTGGGGAAAAATGCATTTGCAAAGGAAAATAAGATCTTAAAATGGGAATTGAGGGAATTCAGAAATCACGTGATTGGTTTAGTTACGGAAATGTAATTGATATTAAAAAGCATACTACAGTCGGTGTCTGTGATCCTAATTACCAGGAGTGGGCACGCAGAGTGATTTTGATGATCTCAGCAGCTGTAACTTCATAGGTCTGAATAAGTATCTGCCTAAACATTAGGGATTTACAGTGTCGTATTGACAGAGGTTATGGAGCCCGGCTTTTAGTGTGTTGCCTTTCTTGAATGTCTCTCACTGGAAAAAAAAAAAAAAAGACTCCAAAGACGGTGAAGCATATCCACCCTCTTTTTTTTTTTCAATCCAGAAATGCCCATCCTTTCAGCGGCAGCTCTCCGGCGAGCGGACTGCAGATCCGCTATGATCAGTCAGGCGGCGGCGGCGGCGGCGGCGTGGAGAATGTGCCTCCGGTGGCGACCAGCATTGAGCAGCTGCTGGAGAGGCAGTGGAGTGAAGGGCAGCAGTTCCTGTTCCAGCAAGGCACGCCAGGAGACAGTAAGGCCCCTTCTCCGTCGCTCTCTTGTCTGGTCAGCATCGAGCCGCCTGGTACTGAGCCGGGTTGCTGTATTCATTCACACGATTCCTGCTGCTTGTGTAGTATTCTTAAAGATGGGAGGGTAACTCTCAATAGTCTAGTTTGAGAGGCGACTTCATTTTTGTTCAATGTTGAGTTTCCTTGAGGGTATTATTTAAAGGTGAAGAATATTGTGAAATCAGTTGTTAACCAGTTCCCACGCTTTGATAAAACAATAGCATTTCTTCACCTAAAATGTTCATTTTGCCTTTCAGCCTCTCAATTCTGTTCTAAAAGCTGGACAATATATTTGCTCTTTAAATATAGTCTGAAGATGTGGACATAATGAAATGTACTACATTTTGTTTAATTTCACCATACTGCTTTTAATCGGTTTGCTGTAAGATTTATGTGCTAGAATCCGTTTCGAAAAAGGGTTTTAAGAACGTGGGTGATGCCATTCAGTTAGTTTAGAACGTCAAAGGCTGTGTCACTCAAAATTGGCTCATCGTCTGTTTAAGTATCACTTGCACGGGAACAGAGTCTGAATCATGGTTCCTGCCCATTCCACATCTACTAGAAGAAGACAGTCCTACAGGTTTTGGTCTGTCACCAATTTTAAAAGCTGATGGCGCAGATTATATGTTGTTTAATTGTAACTCGCAAGACACCGCTTTCTCCTTTGGTACAGTAAGAGGGGATTCCATTTCGAAAAGCACCAGGTCTTGAAAACATTATTGGTATCCAGTGGCATTTTAGTTGTCTAAGCACTACATTTAACAGCACCACCTGGTCCAAGTAATTGGAATCCATTAAGCACCCAGTTTCTGGTTTTACCGAATGTAATATTAACGTATTCATTATCCATGTATCCCCAAGACAGTTTTGGTCTGTGTTTTAGGTATCCTACAACTCAGTT